ACTCCTCCTGCACCAGCTACACCAGCACCACCAATGCCAGCCCCAACTGGGAGACCATCCTTTCCATATGGAGATCCAAGTACTCCTCCTGCACCAGCTACACCAGCACCACCAATACCTGCCCCAGCTGGGAAACCATCCTTTCCATATGGAGATCCAACTCCTCCTGCACCAGCTACACCAGCACCACCAATACCTGCCCCAGCTGGGAAACCATCCTTTCCATATGGAGATCCAACTCCTCCTGCACCAGCTACACCAGCACCACCAATACCTGCCCCAGCTGGGAAACCATCCTTTCCATATGGAGATCCAACTCCTCCTGCACCAGCTACACCAGCACCACCAATACCTCCCTTCCCATATGGAGATCCAACTCCCCCTGCACCAGCTACACCAGCACCACCAATGCCAGCTCCAGCTGGGAGACCATCCTTTCCATATGGAGATCCCACTCCTGCACCAGCTACACCAGCGCCACCAATACCTGCTCCAATTGGGAGACCATCCTTTCCATATGGAGATCTCACTCCAGCACCAGCTACACCCGAACCAAATCCTGCTCCAGCTGGGAGGCCGTCTGCTCCATATGGAGCCCCAAGTCCTCCTCCTGCACCAGCTACACCAGCACCAAATCTTACTCCAGCTGGGAGACCATCCTTTCCATATGGAGATCCCACTCCTCCTGCACCAGCTACACCAGCACCAAATCTTACTCCAGCTGGGAGACCATCCTTTCCATATGGAGATCCCACTCCTCCTGCACCAGCTGTACCAGCACCACCAATGCCAGCTCCATCTGGGAGACCATCTTTTCCATATGGAGCCCCAACTCCTCCACATGCACCAGCTACACCAGCACCAAATCTTACTCCAGCTGGGAGACCATCCTTTCCATATGGAGATCCAACTCCCCCTGCACCAGCTAAACCAGCACCACCAATGCCAGCTCCAGCTGGGAGACCATCCTTTCCATATGGAGATCCAACTCCCCCTGCACCAGCTAAACCAGCACCACCAATGCCAGCTCCAGCTGGGAGACCATCCTTTCCATATGGAGATCCAACTCCCCCTGCACCAGCTAAACCAGCACCACCAATGCCAGCTCCAAACCAAATCCCACTCTAGCTGGGAGACCATCTGCTCCACATGGAGCCCCAACTGCTCCTCCTGCACCAGAGATGTCAGCACCACCAATGCCGGCTCCAACTGGGAGACCAGTCTTTCCATATGGAGATCCCAGTCCTCCTGCACCAGCACCAGCAATGCCAGCTCCAACTGGGAGACCATCCTTTCCATATGGAGATCCAAGTCCTCCTCCTGCACCAGCTACACCAGCACCACCAATACCTGCTCCAACTGAGAGACCATCCTTTCCATATGGAGATCCAAGTCCTCCTCCTGCACCAGCTACACCAGCACCACCAATACCTGCTCCAACTGGGAGACCATCCGCTCCATAAGGAGCCCCAACTCCTGTACCAGCTACACCAGCACCACCAGTGCCAGCCCCAACTGGGTGACCATCCCCTCCATATGGATCCCCAAGTCCTCCTCCTGCACCAGCAACACCAGCACCACCAATACCTGCTCCAACTGAGAGACCATCCTTTCCATATGGAGATCCAAGTCCTCCTCCTGCACCAGCTACACCAGCACCACCAATGCCAGCCCCAACTGGGAGACCATCCTTTCCATATGGAGATCCAAGTCCTCCTCCTGCACCAGCTACACCAGCACCACCAATGCCAGCCCCAACTGGGAGACCATCCTTTCCATATGGAGATCCAAGTCCTCCTCCTGCACCCGCTACACCAACACCAACAATACCTGCTCCATATGGAGATCCCACTCCTCCTGCACCAGCACCAGCAATGCCAGCTCCAACTGGGAGACCATCCTTTCCATAGGCACCCCCCCCTCCCCCTGCACCAGCAACACCAGCACCACCAATACCTGATCCAGCTAGGAGACCATCCTTTCCATATGGAGATCCCACTCCTCCTGCACCAGCTACACCAGCACCACCAATACCTGCTCCAGCTGGGAGACCATCCTTTCCATACGGAGCCCCAAGTCCTCCTCCTGCACCAGCTGCACCAGCACCTGGTCTAAGTGGCCAACCATCTGCACCATACAAAGCCTCCATTTCCCCTATAGAGCTGCCACCTGCACCAGATATAGCCCCATCTCCAACTGCAGCACCACCTGGACCATATAGCAAGCCAGACCTTCCTGCCTGACCTAAGTGACCTGTAGCATGAAGTGCCAGGCCATCCTCACCATATGGGATACCTATTTGTCCTTCTCTGTTTATACTTGCTCCATTCCTATCAACCACAGTTGGCAGACCATCCTTGCCATAAGGGGACCTCATTCCTCCTCCAATCTCAGTACCTGCAGCATTCTTTTTAGCTCCAGTCTGTGGACCAGTCCTTCTGAAGAGGCCATCCTTACCACCTCCCACTCCGGCTGCATCGGGACCAAGTCCATCTACCTCAGAACTTCCATCAGTAGCACCTGATCTCCCAACACCCCCAAAGCCAGCTCTGTAACCAGCATCACCTAATTTACCATCTTTGTCATGCTGAGAGCCCGCACCTTCTCCATCATCCATATCAGTGTCAACACTACCCAGCATAGCACCACCTCTGCCATCCACAGAATTCCATGCACCTACTGCTCCTGATTCATCACCAGTATCTGCTCTGCCTGCCATAGAATCCTTGCCATGGAAAGGCCTTAATCCACTTTTGCCTCCAAAGCCTTTTAATCCAAAGATATTCCCTTCACTTGTCATGGCATCTCCATCTAGATCTGCTCCAGAAAACTGTCCAGCCCCTATCCTTTCATTTCTGTTGGCTCTGTGTAGCCCATCCTTCCCCAAAAATCTATGGCTTCCATCAGCATCATCTGAGTGACCTTGGCTGCCCCCTTGACCATTTCTGTACCAGCCATATTTTTCCTCTCCAGTGTCCATAAGATGATCTCCATCACCAACAGATTCTTTCTGTTGAAGTTTCTTTGCCCAGTCTCTCTTTGGCAATGTTTCTTCCAGCCACTCAGATCTTTCATCTCCTTCACCTTGTCTCCCTTTTCCTTTGGCATCTGTATTGAAGATGCATGGTTTGATTGGAGGAGATATCATTTACAGGAAAAGAGAAGGGAAAAGAAAAAGAGGACAATGAATAGGTCATGCACTGCATCAACAACCAACGAGAATGTGGCAGCATTTGTTATAGTTCCATTCTGGGACACAGAACCATTGTAAATACATTTCAATTTGGTTCAAATCCTGAATCTTTTCAGTGTCACATTCAGACCTGGTTTGCCATTTCTCAGCTGGAAACACAATCACTGTGAGTAGGAACACGTTTGTTAGAAAACCCAAGCAAACAAAACAAGAAGAGGATTAAAACAAGGCACATTTCCAGCACAACAGGTTTACTTTAGAGGGGCTTAGATTGTATCTGGGACTCGTTAGTTCCTTCTGCCTTCTCCTTCCAGCCCTGCAGGAGTTAGACTATCCCACAGGTCAGCCATCAGTCCTCACTTTAGGAAAGATGTTTTAGAAAGCGAGGTCTCAAAATAAACCAAAGCAACTACCTTTCAGAAGCAAAACCATACACTGAGTGTTTCCCATCTTCCCCTGAGCTTCTTTAGCATGTTTAACCTCTAGTATGGAAAGAAAAATACTACCTGACAAGCCAGTGTTGAGTAGTGTTGGTCGTACAGAATTGATAGTACCTAAGGCTGCTTTATCCCCTGCATGCTGTGCTGTGTTCACACAGTGACAGCTTCAGCAAAAGCATATGTTGAGTTATGGAGGTTTTGTTCAATAGCTGATGGAGAACATACTACTACAGAGTAGCTGTAAATAAGCCAATGGGATTTGTCAGGATTAATAAAAAGGGAAAAATGTGCCTCATCTGAAGAGGAAAGAGGGTCTATCCAGACCTTCATTTTCCAGGTGTAACTTAGGAAGTAGATGCTCTGCAATTCAGTTCTCAGCATAGAATCATCTCAACGAGCAATCAGGCAGCGAGTGGAATGTTATTCTGTTGACACGCCCCAAGCCAACACCATGGGAATAACACAGTGGCACTTACACCCTACAATAAGCCAGGCATTTGAGAAGGAAAGTCCAGTGTCGATGGTGTACATGCCGTTGTCAGAGGGCACAGTGTTTTTGATCATCAGCTGGTGGGTCAGACCGTCAGCACTTACAGAGATCTGGTGCTTCTCACTTGCCTCCAGGACGTGGGTTTTGTGTAGCCACACAGCATCATGGCAGGGGGTGCGTAGGACACAGGTAAAGATGGCATCTTCACCCTCAGGGCAATTCATATTGCTGAGTGATTGCTCAAATCCCACAGGGATGGCTGCAATGGAAAAATCAAATGCTGCAGAAAGGAAATAGCTATTTCTATCTTCCAAGAAGAACTTGTTGCAGCTAAAGGAAGACAGACAGGAACTTGCCGTGCTTGTGAGCACTGGTTTAAGCAGAAAAAGGAAACACTGAGATGTGCTCCTGTGCCTATTTCTACCAGCCAAAAAAGCAGAATTTTGTCTTTATTATCTTCTAAGGCATTTATACCCCACATCACTGTGATGTGCTGGGAATTTGTAGTCATTAATGCATTTCAGCAGCGTGATACTTGTATCGAGTTGGTACTAGTTATTATTTTGAGCTTACAAAAGGAACTACAACAGGGGTAAGTTAAGGAGGTTCCTCATTGTCATCTAAAAGTCAGAGCCAAACCGGTGTTTGAACCTCATCCTTTGGACTACAAATGCAACACCCATATCACACAATCACCCCTGCTTCTCTTTTTCACCGGTGTCATCTAAGGAGCCCTTATGTGGCCACCAAAACCAGTGTTCTGTAGTTACCAGGTTTTACTGCTGAGCTTTGCATCTACTCCTGGAAAAAAAACTTCCAACAAAAACTACTTTCTCATTGCAGTTGCACCTCCCATACATGTAACTCAGTTCCTTACAGTCAGGGTCCAGTTCAGTTGAGAAGACAGGCACATCCTCCACTCGGACTTGATACAATCCTGCATCTTCTGGCTGCACATCGTTGACAATGAAAATGTACCTTCTCCCAATTTGCCGCAGGCAGTGCTTCCCGTATTCATTACTTGTTTCATACCTGAGCCTCTCACCATCCTAAGGAGAGGGAAGAGCATGCACTTTGAGGCAAGGTATTTCAAACACACCAGGCCAAATCTGTGCTGTGATCTCCTTGTTGATATAAATGAGTAACAACAGAGAATTCTACACTATTGCTACTCACAGTGGACTCGTTGCTTAGGGAACACCCGGGCAATGCTATGTGCGGTAAGGCCTGCATGGAACAGAGCATCAGACTCTCAAACTAGGCAAAACAATACTAGCTCACATTGGGTTTTGGAGCTTAAGTTACTATAACTTCGAAGACAAAGTACTTTCTTTGCTTAGATCTTAGCATCCTCACTGATAGATAAGCAGGTGAGTTCACCACCTTTCTGTACCACTTTGGTTACGTCTCCACGTTGTGGCTGCACAGACTTCATGTCATGCATTTGATTCAGAAGTTCATAGAGCTAGACAGACCTCCTCTTCAATGGATTCCAATTTCCCTTGTATTAAAGCCACTAACCATAGACTGACCAAAATATATCTTCCAGAAAAACATCCACAGCACTGATGAACCTGGGGATCACATTGTAATAACACCCACAGAACTCAACGGGATGTTTTACTTCCCTCAGATCTTCTTTCACAGAGGTGAATTTTAGTGGAATAACGCTCTAGAAAGTGAATAAAATGGGTCTGGTTTTCTTAGATGGGACTGCAGAATTTCTGCAGCCTGAAAGACACTGAATTTCCTCTTGCTGGAAGAGCTCTTGAAGTCAAAAGGATGTCAGCAACTGGATGTTTCCCCTGTACTTGAAGAGCTACAAATCCCAAGTGATATTCATCAAAGATGCACCTGGACCCCCACATCAACACTTCTCCCTGACCAGCTGAGGATTCCACAATGGACGGACAACCTTGAGAAGCTTATTTCCTCTCAGCCAGTGCCCAGATCAAGCATTTTATGTAGAAGATGACTTCAGTGGCTGCTATGAACTGTCCAAGTGATCTCACCCCCTCACCTTAAGCAGATAAACTTTGCTGTTACTACTTTTCAGGTTCATCTCCAGACCGAAGGTAGCTTTTCCATCCTTGGTGACTTTGATGTGTTTGAAGTTTTTGATACTGTGTATTAACTGCAAAGAAAGATACAAGAAGCACATAAACGAGAAGGCTGCCAAAACAGAAGTCCTTAAGCTGTTGAACTTTTTATCTGCATAGAAAAGAGCTACCTCCAAATGAATGGAAGAAGCAGCTCTAAGTTTCCACAGTTTCCTCCTGTAGGCAAGTTATATTTTACATGCTCCCTCCTGGTCACTCACACACTATGCAACCACTGTCTGTCCAGGTTTCTACATGTCCCTCTATGTGAAAGCCAATTTGGACTCTCAGGTGTGTAACTTGTCAATTCAGCATCCAAATTCTCAGCAGGGACAACTGAACACAGATTTTAGCATTCCCTTACATTCAGTATATCTCATAAGACTCATGAACTGAACTTCAGAAATGTTAGCATTTTTATCTGCATGAGCAGAGAAGTAGGACCCCTTTAAGACTGCCAGAAAGCATTGTCTGTCATACAATAGTTTCATCTACAAAGCAGTTTAGGAAGGGTTAGCCTATTTAAAGCAGCTCCTGTGAAGCTATAAGACTCTCTAGTTTGTTAAAGATTAGTACTTGCTGTGGTTGCAGTTTATTTTACCTCTTCTTGTTCACTCTCTGTGTCCTTCCTCAGCTCCTGCAGCTTTTTCAGCATCCCACGGAAGTCAACGATTCCATATTTGATACAGATTTTCTCATAATCTCTCTTATCTGCATGCAGCAGCAATTGCCAGACTGCTTCTTTATCCAAGGGTTTGGGTTTTGGTGCTGGGGCCCTTAGAACCAGGGGAAAAAAGTACATCTAGACATTTTAACAGACAACAAAATGTCTTGGTTTTCTATACTTAATCCTCTTTCATCTCTCTTTGCCAGTTCTGTAGTTCACTTGGTCCTGGAGATGTAGGCAAGAAAGAGTGGGATTCTTACAGAACAGGTTTGCTGCATCTATACTACACATTAAATGCTGGCAGGGAACAGTCCTGCCCTGGGCCATACAGGCATTTATACACTGCTGTTAAATCAGCAGCAGTCACTGGCACCGTTTGGTCCAGGCTCACTTGCCCTCTTCCCAGGTAATTTCTTAGCATGGTTCAGGAGTTTGCACACTCAGAGGTCACTCCTCTGAGGCAATCTCTGGGGGTTCCCTCCTGGGGAATGAAGGGATGGGAATCAAGAAGTGTTGCCTTCAAAATCTGTGAAGCTGCCCCCTCTCATCAAGAAACCCTTAGGAAGTGTAACAGTGGCGTTCGTTGTGGAGGCTTACCGCTTCCTCAGCCGCTTCCTGGAGTCCTCAAGTGTCCTCCTTAATTCTATTACAGCAGGAGGGGGAACAAGAAACATTCAGATACCCAACAGTGTGAAATATATCCCCCAAAACAAGATAATGCAAAACAGACCCTGGCCACAGGCCATTCTGCTAATGCTGTTCACCTCTGGTGATTTTTTCCCACTTGACATGAAACTTGGAGCCAGTTTTCTCTGCCATCCTCATGTCTTTTGATGTCATTAAAGTCCATCACTCCCTAGGCAGCATTCCTCTTTCTAAAGAGGACACTCAAGAAACCTGCTATTTCCCAACTGTGTTAACATGTTGGATCCAGTTTATTGGACATCACAAAATCCTTTTCTAGCACTAATGATTCCTGAATCATTAACTAGAACAGCTCAAAGTGATGTCTAAGATCATCACTTTTCCCAAAGGGAAATAGTAAGCAGAGACAACAGAACATTAGAGACCCATTAACCCTTCTCTCATTTTACTCTTTACAAGTCTGGGGCAGTAACAATGTGGTAGAGAGAGTATTAGCTTTGACCCCCTGCCTCAAAAGAAAGGAGTAATCTATCAAACTTACCATCAGCAGCATGAACAGGGACATATTTTGCTTTCCTCTTAAAGCCAACTGAAAATAAAACAAATCAAAACAAGCCATAATTCAGACTAACAGCAGTAAACCAATGACAAGAACGGGTCAGTTATATTTAACCACAAAGTGCCCATTTCTCTGAACTGACTATGAAGGGAAGCAGGGAACTAAGGTCAGGTGACATGTGAAGTGGGATGGATCCCTCTCAAAAGACTGATTCATTCAGTGCTATAAAGAAAGGACAGAGCTACTTCAACACTAAACCCAGAGTTTGGGCCTGACTATGGTCCAGTGCAGTGATGATAATACCACTTTCTTCTCCCTTGCTTTATAGCTCATACTGTCATGGAGCCATCAAACTGGGGGGAGTCACAAAAGAGCTTCAGTCCTCAGTGAGGGAAAAAGTAGACCTTCACACCAAGGATACTTAGACAATGCTCTGGGAACCCACCCCCAAAGGACCACAAAGCCCTGGGACAGCAAAACTACTTGAGACCAACAGACCTTTGGAGCACAGAACCTGTCAATCCTACCTTGTATGATCCTGAGGCCAGCAGAGCATGAAGCTTCCCCGTATTCATTCACAGCAAAGCAACGATACAAATCACTGTCTTTTGCAGTGAGTTTGTTTATCTTAAAAAGAAGAACATAGTGAAAGCTCACAGGGGTGTGCTGTGGATCAGTTCACACACCTTCAGCTTCTAACAGCTACTCAATGACATCTCAGATCTTTCCTGTGTTCCCAGAATGACTCTAAAAAGCTTTGTTTGCTTATCTTTGTGATATCTCAGACACGGTGACATCTCTATCAGCCCACTGCAGGTTTTTCCTTTCATTGCTCTCCTGCTTCCATGAGTCCTGTCTGAAATAGCTGATACTTACCTGCAGAACAAACTCATTTGTAACACTATTGAAGAATGTTTCATATTTGGAACGATCATCCATTCCTCCTTGTACACGAGTCCATTTCACGTCAGGGGTTGGGACACCTTTGACCACAGCTCTGAAGATGGCATTTTTACCTTTGGAAAGAGGCAAGAAATCAGTTAAGACAGGCTTGAACATGAAGACTTTCATGGCAGGCCCCTTATGTTATCAATAGCTTGATTCCCCAGAGTGAGACATCTCTGGTTTAGGCAATTCTATCTTTTTGTTTTCCCTGTAAAAAATGCCTAAATTATGAGTTGAAGTTGCATTAAATGCCTAAATTACTGCAAGCCACCTGCCATAATCTCCACTCTAACTTACTGGCTTCCAAAGAGATGACTTGAAAACTCATCTCTAAAATTCACTAGTGACACACGCGGCCTCTGTGGGTTTATCGCACCGTCACACAAATAGGAAGTTACGTAGCCAAAAGAGCAATTCTTTGGTGTCTTGGTCTGATTTTCAACTCCCTCAATAACTGGGCAGGGCCAAAGAACAAGCAGTTATTAGCTCAAGTCCAGGTTTGTCTGTATTCAATCCTAAAAGGTGTTAGCCCACAGCCATGACTGCAAACATCCTCTGGTCAGCTCTGAATTCAGAGATGCTACAGCAAGTTCAGCCTAGACTTGCATACAGCAACTTGCATGCCCTACTTGCACCACAGCCATGAAATCCCAGATCCATTCTTATCACACACATACTCCCCTGCAAGTTCCCATTCCTTCTCCATTCCTTCCCTTTGCTGCAACCATGCTGTTAAATAACAAAGGACTCGCTGTGCTGGAGTTCCCTGTCTCTAGACATCAGTAAAGTTCATCTGTGAATAGTTGCAGCTCCTGGTCTCTCTTTCATTTAGATAAACTTGGATTGATTGGAAGGTGGAAAAAAGGAAAATACCCCTTCTGCACAGTTAGGAAAACATGTTCTGAACAGACAACACTGTACCACAACTGGGAGCACCCATGCAGTGTAAGATGTTTCCCCCTGGACTCCCTACATGTCATCTTTCTGCAGTAGCTTCCTCATCCACTAGCCTGGCACCACTTTGTACTCCAGCCACGCCAGGCTCTGCTGCTTGGAGACAAGGGAGGGAGGAGAGGATGGGGTTTACCTGTGAGCTCTCTCTATCTCTGCTCCCCTATGAACCTGAGTAAACTGCTGCTGCCCACAGACGTTCCAACAGCTTTACCACTGCTTAGTACAAACCTTTTCTTCCAGAAGGCTTCAAATACGTTAGAGGCACTATAAAACAACAAACCAGAGAAGTCACTCTCCAATAGAAATCTCCAGTCGAAATGGAGATGAGTTATCCATGGATGTAGCTCAGGGTGGGAATAATTGTTACCTTTCTTTTGCAATAGTTTTGGTCTTCAAATGACCAACACAAAATTCTCATCAAGAAGTCTCACAACGTGTCCCACGCCCTTCTGCAGTCACCATCAAAACACTCACTTGATGCAGCAAAAGCTCCTGCCAGCAGATTCTTATCAAAAGGCATCTCCTACCTTTTCCCGAGATTGCAGCACTATTATTAAAGTCTGATTATGCCTTTGTCAAATTTTAGTCACTCTGCAATTAGTCATTAGCAATTTCCCGTGCTTGCCGTCTGTCCCAGAACAGCTCCCCAGCGAGGAGTGTCAGCGATGCCATGCAACGGGGCAATGGTGATATGATGAAACACACTCATCGTGCCCGAATTCCCTAATATTTTGTATATGAACTACGAGGAACCTGCTGTAAATGAAATCACTTGGAAATGTTAGAGAGGGTGAGTGAGCACACACCTTGGTTCATGGCTGAGCGAGTGGAAGGAGGAGGATCAGGGATGTACCACTAGAGGCCACTGTGCTCCTTCAGAATATCCCAATGGCTCGTGAAACTCAACACATGAGTGTGACAACACTGACATCCAGGGTGCCAGAATGGGTTCAGTCTTGTGAGGACAGAGGAGCTACACGAGTTCCTCAGGCCACCCCATTCCAAAACCAAACCAGAAATTACTCAATTACTCCGCAAGTGAAGAGATTATTGGAAGGCTCCCCATTGCCTCAGGTATCAGCCCATCATCTGCCTTCTCTCTACTCTAAGCAAGGTCCATATTGCTTCTTGCATCTGCAAGCTGTACAGCTGCAAGCTGTACATCTGCTTTTAAAAAGCAGTTAATTTTAGTGCTGACCACTCATAATACAAGTTAGTTCAACAGGAAAACCCCAACTTTTTCAATGTGCTTCATCTTTAGCTGCAAAATACTTTTTTCCTGTAGGATTTTCTGGATTGCTGTATTCATTAGGAGCCAGATTCTGATCTTGCAGACACTAATGAAAGCTCAGGAGACCTCTATCAGTACTGGTGGAGTTGTCATCAGTACAACAAAGACTTGGGCCATACAAAACTACTTCTGGTCTAGTCAAATCTATTCAGAAAGGAGCTTGATTTAATGGCAATGATTGTTTCAGGCAGGAGAGACATGGAGTCAAGTCTCTGGGACTGTAGCTTTGACTGTTATTTAAGGCTCTCACCTTCCTCCAATGTCAGAGAGACAGGTTTCCGCTCAAAGTCAGGTGTACTGCATCCCTTTGGAACATCATCCACAAACTGGGTGATGAGAACTCCCGGGACAGAAGATTTCTTGAGGGGTTTTACTAGAAAGTCAAGGAAAACCACACTCCATTAAGATAACATGCTTGTCCTTTAGGAACCATCAGCCTGCATTGCCTCTCTGGGGCTGCTCCTGCTCAGCTCCTCTTGGATTATGAAGGACCCAGCCATTGCAGTACTGCAGGCTGGAAGTGTGTCCGAAGGCTGGAGCATTAGAGGTTCTAGCCATGATTTGAATAGAGCAGGTTTTACATCAGTTACTATAGAAAACTTCTAAATCTAACATAAAGACACTATTGCAGAGGTCAGCAGAACTGATGGACCAGTTACTGGTGTCTCTCCTTGTGGTGCTGAGACAGATGGAAGATTGCTGAACAAGAAAAGCCAGTTGGGCTTATTCCCATGGGTACTCCACGGAGTTTTCACGGCTGCATCTGTTCTCTCACCTTCCTGATGGCTTGTCATGATGCTTTGCTCGGCTGCCTCCGCTCAACACAAACAGGCTACAGGTTCTCCTGTGAAAGAGACAAATCATTTCATTATTGGCAGTTCCCAAGGGGAATGCTCACTTTTATGACATGGTTTGCCCTTCCTCACTTGCCTCATCCTAGCAGCCAAGTTGAGAAAGGCCCTGCCAATGAATACATCACGACATGTCTTTCCAAAACGCATCATGACACAGTTCTGAACCAACACAAACCAGGTATGAAAACAGCTAGCAAGGCTAAATGGGAAATGTACACATGTAACAGCGTCCCTCTGTCACCTCTTCCATCTCCATGTCACCTGGCTTTCCTCCAAAGACCTCCTCTCGTGTTTCAGGCAAATATTACACCACATGGCACTCATGTGGTGAGTTCTGATGGATGGCAAGAGCAGTTGCTGAGAAGAAAGCCAGAGATGGATGTCTAAACTGGGGCATGAAGCAGCAGCATATCCTGATCTAAATTAGCTTTTCTAAATTAGCAACAGACCTGAGAGCAGACTATAAGCTCCTGCTTACTTTAGAAGGAAATGGTAAAGTGTGAACTTGGCATTAACTAGTTATTGTTATAGATCACTCGTGACCTTCTGCCAAAGGTGTCTCTCCCTCTGTATTTATAAACGGGACAACATGTAATGTAACACATCACTATCCTGCAAGCAAACTGCGAAGGCAGATTCCCTGTCACATGAGAGATGCTCAGAAACTCTAGAGTTACTGAAGGTCTGAAAGAGCAATTAGATTAGATTCCCATGTGGGATTAACGCTGCGTCTCCATTTACCTTCTGCGCTCCTTCGGCTGACAAAGGCACACAAGAGCAGGCAGCTTTGAACAGTTTGGAAAGGCAGATGGACTTTGTCAGTACACCTATGATTGTCATTCAGTTCCTTACATCAGACACCCTTCCACCCTGGTATTGCCACACTGCACCTGATGTGAACTTGGGGCAGGACCCCAACACGTCCTTATCGTACATCTAGCTCAGACCTGAATGATCTGTGTGATACTTACCTTGTGTCCTTAACACAAATCTTACTTTAGGGCTTTATCTATTATCCAAATCTCATAGCTCCTAACTTGGAAAACCATTCTGTGAGCCTATGGACTTCAGCAGACACACACATGAAAAAGGAATGGGAAATGATACATGGAACTGTGAGAACAACAGACAAGTCCTGGCTTTCTCTTACCTCCTGTTCTGGCATTGGGTGACTTGTTGCTATGCACCAAAACAAGAGGTTTACGTGTCAGTGTCCCAGCTTTTGTGTGCTGGTATTTTGTCCCCACAGTAACTTCTGCAAACCACTGGTAGATGTTGTAAAAATTGCAAATGAAGGGGAAGAACAGCTTGTGGGAGGGAAAAAGACACAAACCAGACATGAAACTAAGCTGATTCCAGGGCACCCTGCCCTGCAGTGGGCAGGGCATTGCACAGTGAATAGCAGAGATTTTCAGAGACTCTTGATCACCCTCTTCTGATGGATGTAATTTGTCCTCCAAAGTACTGAACTGTATTAATAGCAAACATTATAATCCCCTATTGCCTTTTGCAGTCTTTTATCTTCCTAAACATGTCACCACTCCTGGAGCTGAAGTGTCTAAATGCTTATAACTTTCAACAAACATGATTACTTGACATTAGCTCGCAGAGGCATTCCCTTAAGCTCTTATGATGTTACACTCACATTTCTTTTTTGCTGCTTCTGACTTCTTCCCCCCACACTTGGCAATACTGATGAGCATCAACACTGAAACACGAACATGGGCCAAATTCTCACGTCCAAAGCCACCAAGAAACTTATTGCTTATGTTCCCAAATGCAGCATTTCAGATAGTTGTTCTCAGTCCAGAGGGACTGTGGATATACGTTTAGTTCTAACCTATTGAGAGGGCTACATCCAAATCTAGTTTGAGAAAGGAAGCAAATACTGAGGATGTTTGTATAGGTGGTGATAGGCACCGTGTACGCATTCTCTCAATGTACAACATGCACTATGTGTAAACTGCTGAGTTTATAGGGCCTGAAGTATTTCAGAAATTCACTTGGATTAAAGATAAGCCTCTGGGAGTGCTTAAACTCCTGTGAATTCATACCTTCTGGAGGGTGAGACAGGAGAATGGCAATGCCACACATTGATTACCCAGTTAAAATAACAGTGCCAGGATATGCAAGAGAACATTCCTTCTGCAGAATTCATCCAACCCTATTGCATTTTCTAGTGGCTTCTGTGCTAAAAGAGGCCCAGAAAATAACTTATCAGCTGGCAGAGCTGCTCAGACCCTGCCCTGCTCACTGTTAACATTTCTACTCCCTTGTTTCATGAAGAACCACAGTTTTGCTTTGACTTCAGGTCAATCCCAGAAAAAGAAATCCCAGAATCTTTTAAAAGCAATGAAAGACAGCAAAAGCCTTCCCAAAGTTGCCACAGTGTAATTCCCATCTTCACTCCCAGATGCTTCAAACACGGGCGTCCACATCAAGATGCTCACAGCAGTTGCTGTTTATTCAACAGAGGCAAATACTTCCAAAGGCAACCAATTCCTCCCTAGGGGAAATGCTGTTGACCAACATCCCCAGCACAAGAGGGCTAATACTGGAAGTGGCTCAACGATCTCACTCCTCTGAAAAACACATCCGTGTCATGCATCAGGCTTGTTCATAATCAAGGCTGGGATATTTCTCACCCCAGGCAGAAGTCTGCCTGCTTTTCAGCTGCAGAGACATCCCCTTTGGAGGCAGTGGCAAAGGTTCCACGGCTTCAAACGCGGAGCAGGAGCAAGCCCTTGGCGAGTGACGCTCTTTTTAACCTACCAAAATAAACCAGATGGCCTGATGGGGTGGGAGGTCTGCTCTTCATCTTGTCTATCTATCAATCTGGCTGGCAGAGCAGGGGCCCATTCCCTTCTGCAGGCAGACTGGACACTAGTGATAGGGCCATAAATCAGCTCAGTGAATAAGCAAAACATTTTGGAGTCACAGGGTTTGGAGGTACTCATGGTGTCACAAGTAGTAATTTATGAGGTTCGGGACAGTGGAACACACAGACAAGACGTGACATAATTGCTGGCAGAGGCTGGTGAGCAAAATTAACCAGACTTGTGAAGAAGTGACAGGCACTGAGTGGTTCATGCAGAGGTGATGGGTGCAGAGCCATGGGATGTACCACAGTAAATGAGGAGTACAAAGCCATTAGCACAGACCACAGCAGAAGACTTGAATCATTATAACAAATCAATCAGCAACAGATGCAACATTCTGCTTCTTTTTGTGATTCATAAAGATCAGTCCTGACACAAGGAATGTTCTAAATGAAACACCAAATCGTTGTGAGCTCAGTCTCAAATCCTTGCTGTGCTTTACACAGGAGACCCAGGCACTCACTGAGAAGAAGGATCTCTCACCTCAAATTGCTCTTTTAGCTTTGGGTGGGCTTTCTGTGTTTGGGCAACATGATCTAGCAGAAGGTGTCCCTGCCCATGGCAGGGGGTTGGAACTGGATGATCTTAAGGCCCTTTCCAACCCAAAACATGCTATGATTTTCTAACGATAAGTAATATTTTGAACTTGAGCCTTCCTATTTCAGAAGGACTTTTAAAGGAAGATCTCTAACACTTTGGTTAGAGTCACAGAACTGAAGGCCAACAACTGCAGAAGAGCAGCTTCATGAAAACTCCTGGGCATGTCAGAGAGGGGGAACGTCACAAGCACTCCAGTGATGAATAGAGGTCTTGTGGAGAGTGGGGAGGAATGCCCAAGGATCAGATTTTGTGTGACTTATTCCTTCGGTAAATCTATACTCGACCTGATCTTCTCTTCTGCCTCAGGGATTATGAATGTAAGTGATTGCTCATGCTGCCCACAAGTTACATACACATACACCAGATACATCCCATAGCTATTTATTTACAAAAGTGGCATTGGTACAAAATGCCAGAAGGAGACATTCACCAGCTGTATTTTCTAAGTGAGCAAAAGCAACGGAGCCCTAAGAGCAATGAGAAGAGTGAACTCGGGTCAGTTTGGTGAAGCAGGATGGGATGACAACACAAGGACAGGTCAGTCTGTTCCTGGCGATGCCCACAACATGTCCATGAACCCTTTCCCAACAGACACGCATTTTCCCCCAGTCAACGAATTTCAAGCAAGGATCACAGAGCGAATACAACTGATGTCCATTAGACAAAAGACAACATGTCCCTACTTACTGTGCCAAGAAACAATGTGTGCAAGAGAAAAGCACATTAGAAATAGGTGTACTTGTGCCACAAGTCCCATGTTAACTCCATGGGACAGTTATGGCAGATCCTCAGCAACCTGCCATCTTCCCAGGGAAAGCAGCTACAGGACACCACTCCTCCCAGAACATCTACAACCATTTTCACACCCACTACACCACAGAGCACCGGCTGCTGCGAGAGCAATGGTGACACTTCACACTCCCAGTTCTCTATCACCCCCACCCAAATCTCAGTGGGGACATGACCAAACTCACTGCTTTACAGGTTGAGCTTCTGAGATGATCCTGCTTGAAGTCAATATTGCATCTCCCAGGATCACA